TACTGCTTGTGAAATACTTCACAGTCAATTTTAAGATTACCAATAATCCCATTAAAGCAGCAGGAAGCTATGCTTAGATTAACACTTCTGCTTTTAAAGTACAAAGGAGGACTTCCAGTAAAACATGTCAGATTGAATATATACATTTATGTCCGCTTCCTACAGAAAACCCACCAAAAAGAAAATAAAGGTATAATAGGTAGAAACAAACAAGGAAACAATATGGAGGAAAAAAATAATAGTAGACATGAGATGTAACAAATTTTGGGAGGACAAGAACTGGATAGTGTGGTGGTAAGGGAATAGCAGAGAAGAGAAAAGCTGACATCTGAGTGGGAAACAAGTGGATTCACTCCAAGGAACAGGAAGCAATGGGGAAAGGTGGAGTTGGAAGGTGCAAATGAAAACACAGCTGTGAGTCTACATAAGAAGCAATTAAGCCTCCAGGCCCCCTCCCCAACTTATGAAGGTTGGTGACTGACCCTATGCCACCCTGACGCAGACAGGTCGTTTAGTCTCTGGTATTAAACCAGAGAGGTCTTGGACTCCGAAACACCAGTTTAAGCACAGGCCTTTTACCGAGGAAAAGCATACATACTGAATGCTGTAGCCCTCTAGATTTTCCCTATGTCTAGATCCAAGAATGTGGGCAGCACATGACTCACCCCAGAAACAACAGACAGTAGGATTCTTCAGTAGAAAAGATACACGCTTCCAGAAGACAGACCTAGAGAAACTGAGAGCTGGTCACCCCCAATGAAAAGGACTGACACTACTTGGTCATCCTATAGCCGAGCTCACCGGCCAGCAAACTCTTGGCTCACACTGAACTCTCAATCGACTCTTTAGTACCTTACTCTTAAATACGAACAGACAGTGAAGAGGGATCCCCATTCACCTGAGAAGTCCCCCACCTGGAAAGACTGAAACCAAAACAAACAGCAAAATGGAGCTCAGAAGAAACTAACCCAGAGGACAGAGGAAAATTTTAAAATACTATATAATTCCTTAGAGAGAAGATAACTGCATCCATGAAATCAAAATAGGACAAAATCAAAATCAGAGAACAACAAAAAAAAAAGACCTTCACAATTAAAAAATATGAAGTCATTTTTTTTTTAAAATTCAACAGAAGGGCTAGAAAACAAAGAAATACCCCAGAAAGGAGTCAGAGAGATAGAAACTTGTAAAAGATAGTTATGAAAAATGCGAGGATCAGTGTAGAAGATCTAACAACCAATTATCGGCAGTTCCAGAAAGGGAAAACAGAGGAAAAATTTCAAGACAAAAGTAATCAAGGACATAAGCAAACAAAACAACCTGTCTAGAAATAAAAAATATAAACTTACCACTGGATTGATAAAGAAAGCTTACCAGATTCTCAGCACAGAATTGAAAAAAACAAAAAGCTACCCCAGGGCATTTCACCAAAACTTCAGAGCAACAGTCATAAAGAGAAGATCCTAAAAATTTCTAAAAAGTAAACGAATCAGAAAGCAGAATAGCATCGAACCTCTCAATGGCAAAAAGATAAGTTATGCCTTTGAAACAATAGCTTCAAAATTCTGAGGAAAAACTATTTCTAATCTGGATATTTATATCCAACCAGCATATCCATCAAAAACAAGAATGCCTATCCCTTCCTCAGAAGCAATGGTGAACGTGCTTTCACTAAAGTTGGGGAGAAAACCAAGAGAAGACCCGCCGCCCGGGAGACAGAAGCCACAGCACAGGAGGCGAGCAAAGGGGCCCGCAGGACGGCGAGCCAGCCGGTACACAAAAGACAGCACGTAGCAGGAAAGAACCTCCAGTATGGACGGCAGCAGGATGGCCCCGAGGGAAATCATACTGAGAAGGCTTCTGCAGTCCTCGGTACACAAGAAAACTCAGCCCAGTAAAAAAAAGAAAAAGAGATGACCATGAAATCTTCGAAACAAAAATTATAAGGAAAAAAGCTGAAGAAAGTAAATACAATTATTGTACACAGTTTTGCTCAGCAATGAGTATTGACACTGAATACTGAGTTAGCTAACATATGAGAAGACCACGTTGGAAGGACAGGGAGTGTGGAGATCTGAGAGCGCAGGAAAGTCGAGAATACTAATTCCTTACCTTTAATAGGAGATAATTTCTAATACTGATAAAGAAATAGTGGATATGTTGTTTAAGATCAGGAGGTAAACAGAAAAAAGACCTAAGAGGTTAAAATGGTTACCTCTTAGGGTGGGGCAAGCAAGGGGTGGGGAAGGGCACAGGTATTTTCTCATTAGTCCCAAGTCCACTTTTGAGACTAAGCTCCTACGACTTTGCTAATCACATTTAAAGGCAGAAAAAAGGAAAGGGAAAGAAAAAGAAAAAATTCTGAGAAAAGTGACTTGTTCGTGGACATAAAACAGTTTAGAAACATTTGTCACAATGTCTCCAGTTTCCTTGTACCTCTAAGGAGTATGAAATCTCTGCCAATTCTTGGGGTGGGTGGGAGGGGTGGAGTTCTTAAATTCCCAAGTCACAGATATTCACTCAATTCACTAGGAGTCAAAAAAAAAAAAAAAAAAACTCATAAAAGTATGTCAATTATAGTGGACTCGACCTCTATGTAATATTATTACAACTTTATTCAGATTTGCTTTAATATAAAACTATAGGCTCCTTTCGTTTTTGAGCATAAGATTTTCATATCTTAATTAAGAAAACAAATACAACGGGAAAAGAAGACATCATAACGAAGGTGTTTCCAGATTGGCATCCAGTAGACAGCTGCCACTGAATCCGGCTGATGCATAGGTCAATTCTAAACTTAGAGATTTCACAGTATTAGGACTACTGGCTAAAAAGCTCATGTTCCGGATACCATTACAACCCAGGGAAGGGACAGTGACCAACTCTCACAAGGTCCCTCTGGTCACAGTATATGATGAGGGAAGAAGCATCCATTAGGAAAGGGTGTAATAGCTATGATGCTAGACAAGTGCAATAAGAGAAAAAAGGTCAAGGTCATTCCCAGCTTCCTTACTGTCTCTCTGTATCTGCTTCATTCATCTGTGGTTCCTTTCAGAACAGAGCTTTGGCACACCAGTCTACACTCACCTTTGCCTGCCTTCCCTCAGCTGCCTAAGTCTACCCATTTCAGGAAACACGCATAGATGTACTGATCTACGTCTTACATGAGTATTCCCAGTTACTTCAAAATTCTCCTGACAAATGAGGGAAGCACCACCTTTACCATTTTACTGTACCTGGTGTGATGTGAACATGCACTCTAGACACACCAGTACTGGTGCCGAGACTCCAGACATACTAATCTAGGAGTTGTACACTGCCAGGTTAATCTTGTTTACTTAGTTATTTGAAGCTATTTATCTATCTTAGTATTAAGACTTTAAAAGACCCAAGGATAGAACAGGCATTTAATAAATATCTTTGATATAAATAACTAACCTAATCACAACTGCTATAGTACTTTTATGAAGTTATTCAGATGCAAACTCAAGTAGAATTTTAAAAAAATGTCTGGTTATTTTTCCAAGTATGAAATAAAATTAAGACAAATACCTTTAAAAGAAAGAAATGTGCTGGAGTGTCAATGGCATGGGGTGGGTAGGAAGTTCTAAAAAGAAATGACTTTTAGAGCAAAGCCACTTTGGCTTGGGTTTCAAGCCATTTTTGACCTTGTCTCGGATTAACAGAATGCCCGTGATCGCTGAAGTAATAAAAAGGAACGTTAAGGGCAAGTGCAAAGGGTAAGAAAGAAAATGTAATCCCACTGGAAAGAGCCCCTCTGTATTTTCATAACTTATGAAAAAATCCCAAAGCAAAAGCAAATGCTTCTATAAAACTTTACTTGAAACCAGTAAGAAAAAGTCAAAAAAAAAAAAAAGGAAGGCTTTCCTTTCCATCTTCCCACTGGCTCCTTCTCACTCAGTCCTGCTGGATCTTTCTCCATTGTTAGAGTAAACAGTCATGAGTGAGAAAACAGCCCGTTAGGACTTCTCAACTGAAAAGTGTAAATCCCCAAACACAGTGGTCACATATTCATAATTACTTCTGAAAGATACTTGAAAATAGACAAAATTAAAAGGCTGAGAAAATGTTTGTCAGAATCAAGTAAAATATCAATTTAATCAAGGAACTTAAAAATACTTCAATGCTAGACTGGCAACCGCTGCTGTCGAGTCGATGCCGACTCATAGTGACCCTATAGTCATTCCTAAATGCTCTTCTTGAGGGGTTTCAACTGTTTTTCCAAAACACAAGCAAAAAACTTATGACAGAAACTCTCATCTGCTAATTGATTTTTTTTTCCTTTAGAATCAAGAAATAGAAATTAAGCCATCAAATACAGTATGTTCTTTGCTTTATTTCAAAAAACAAAAAACTAGCAGTTCCTCGATTAAAGCATATTTCAGGACCTCACACCTTGTTCATTAGCAAGCAAACTATTACGGGCCACAGGTCAAAAGGCCTGGAGAAGCAAAGCTACTATGTCAAAGGTCATGAAAAGTTTTTATGGTCTTCATCTCCCAACCAGCCAAATATTACCAAGGCTACCTGCGCATGAGGACGGCTTTCCAGCATATTTCCTAAAGATCCACATCGTCATACTGTGGAAGTTACACACCATTGCGATTGCCTCTGTGAGCAAAAGTCCCAAACCATTGCAATTACCTCTGTGAGCAGAAGTCTGACTTAGGCTTCTAGTCTCCAAATCCTCCAATAGGAGGAATTCAGATAGAAGAAATACCAGCCCTATCTCTAAAGACTTTATCGGCGTCTATTTGGCTCCTGAGTTCTAATACAAGGAGTCTGATAACTCTAACTGGCTACTTTCATCCTAAGTGACTCATCACGGAACTAAAGAATTCAACCTCTCAAGTTAGGCTGTGGGCACATAGGAATCTCAATAAAATTTAAAAAATAAAATGCTATAGTGTGCTTTTCCATCTCCAAAGTCTTTAGTTTAAGAGTTGAACATCTGATGCAGGCTTATATAAACGTCTTACCTGTTTGGCTTTCGACTTCTTCCCAGCAGAACTTTTCTCATTTGTACTTCCATCTGTCCCTCGAAGAACACTGATGAAATCTTTCTTAGAAACAGTTGATATCAACTTAGCACGCTTTCTAATAGAGCCTCCAGCTTCTTTAACTTTTTCATCAACGTTCTTTTGATGCTTCTGAACAGCATTAAATAACTGCACCACACCCCTATGGAATATACAATAACCAGAACAATGTAGTTAGATAACAATTACACTAGAAATGCAATCTCTGTAAGGGTTGGAGCAATGCACTTTCACTGCCTAGAAAAGAGGAAAGCACTCAAAAGCACTCAAATGAAAGAGTTAAATAAATGGCTAAATACATGTGGAAAATAAGCATACATTTCAATGAATGAACCTTAATTTCTGAATCACAGGATGAACGTGGATTGCTATGCGACTTTTTTCAGCTTTGGTCTTTCTAAATCAACTTTTGTGCAATTAGAACTGAGAACTGCTTTTAGCACAAATGTTTCTCAAAATACAATTGTATACTGATTGAAGGCATTTCAGTGTGTTATAGATTGAACTCGTTCCCCCAAAAGATATGCTGAAGTCCTAATGCCTGTACCTGTGAATGTGACCTTGTTTGGAAACAGGCCTTTCTTAGAAAACGTTAGTTAACAAGGTCGCACCAGGGTAGGGTGGGACCTATTCCCAGCTGGGTGGTGTTTTATAAAAGAGGAAAACAGACACAGAGAGACAGACCGGGGCCCTCAGAAGGAATCAGCACAGACAATTTCCTGATTTGGAACAAGCCAACAAACGCCAAGGACTGCCAGGAGAGAGCATGAACAGCCTCTCTCTCAGAGCCCTCAGAAGGAATCAGCACAGACGATTCCCTGATTTGGACTTTTAGCCTCCAGATCTGTGAATCGATAAATGTCTGTTCTTTAAAGCCATCCACTTTGCGGCATTTTGTTATGGCCACCCTAGGAAATTGAGACACAGTGTACTGGAAAAGAGCTGTCCCAGACAGTAGCCACTAGCCTTGCATGGCTACTGAGAAGCTGAAATGCGGCTAGTCAGAACTGAGATGTGCTGTAAGTGTAACATACATACCAGATTTCAAAGACTTAGTATTAAAAAGAGAATGAAAAAGATCTCATTGTTTTATACCGATTACATATTGAAATATTTTGAATATATTTGGTTAATTATTGAAATTAATTTCAATTCTTTCTGTTTATTTTTCTCCATGTGGTTATCAGAAAACTTTAAAGTAATATCATGTGCTGCTCTGATATCTGAAATCGGGAGGCACTCGAATAGCCTAACCATAAGTTGCCCTCCCACCAACTGTGCTCACACGCATAATTTCTCCCAGCCAAACAACTCTCCTTACCAGGGGATAAGGCACAGTGCCTGCTCACCCCTGAGCAGCAGCAGGCTTCATTTCCCTGCCAGCCCACGGAATTATTCAAACAAGCCAATCACATCCCCCGCAGGACCCAGGGGTCACCTCATCGTCTTGTTACTACAAAGCCTGCTTCCTACACTGGTTCACGCTGTTCCCGAGTGCAACCCTGTGTGGCCCTGCACGGTGTGATGTCCTCCTCCCCCAGGCCGTGAGTACATGTGACTAATAAACTGATGCTGATCTCATCTGTCCAGCGGCAGATGCCATTGTGTTTGGCCATCCTCATAATTCTAGGGCAAGAATCCCTCCCTCACCAATGGGGTATGAGGTAAAGAGGAGGTGATTAAAATAATTTCATATGTGGCTCATGATATATTTCTACTGGACAGCACTAACTTAGACCATTAAGATCCCTTCCAGCTCTGAAATTGTACAATCCATGAATTCCCTTTATAATAACTGTTGGGACAGGCAGTCCACCATGGGCCCTGAGCATTCTTGCACATTCTTATTGGATGTGTTAAGAATGCAAGGCCTTGACCTCTCTTTAACTAGGTAATTTCAGAGCTGTGTTTGCATTCAGCTACTTGAGGGATGAGGTGACTATCCCCTAGACAAAGAGCAGGTCTGTTACCATTCACTATAGAAGCAATAGTGTCCCAAGGAGAGTGGCCCTCTCCTGTAAGGCACCCGCAGCACGTGCAGGGGTCCATCTAAGGTACCTGCACTGCCCCTGTGGAACAAGGGGGACCAGTGGGAACATGAAATTCTGGCCACTGCTTTCGCCATTAGTAATAAAGCCCTTTGTCTCTGACCCAAGAGTCTCTTGTCTTCTGCCAGCAACCAAGAAGCATTAACAGCTTGTAAGGAAGGTAAAATCCCAGACCCTTCACAGCAGGGCCAGGGCAAGGGTGAGGCCAGGAGTGTCTATGGTACAGAATTTAAGAAGGCACTCACTCTCATGTTTGCAAAAGTGCCAATCCTGTACTTCTCCATGTGCTTTATATGCGTTAGTTCTTTTAATTATCAGAGAAACTCTACAGGGTTTCTTTTTTACAGATAAGTAAACTGAGACAGAAAGAAATTAAGTAGCATGTCAAAACACATGCAGCTGATAAAAATCTGGACTGGGATTTGAACCTAGCAGTCTGGCTCTATCCCTGAAGTTCTTAAACCTCATCCCTCATTATGTCATGGTGCAAGACCCAGTCGATTAGAAAATGAACAAAGCAACGCAGGTAACTAAGAATTCCAAACTAATTCCACTAAAGGTAACTGCTACATTCTGTAATAGCAGCCTAAGTGTTATCTCCTCTGTGAACTTTCCCCAACTCCCCAGACAATCTCCTGTTCTACGTCCCCAACACATCAGATCTACCTCTATCCTCAGAGAGATTGTAATTAATTACTTTCACTCATACAGATGAGCAGGCAGGGACCACCCAGCAGCCACCATTAACTTATTTATCTTTGGACACAGTGGACATCAAATGAATGTTTGGTGTTGATGATAAAAAATAGAGTGAAAAGGACAGCGTGAAGCTGTTGTAATACATGTATAATGTGTTATGCCACCAGATACAAAAACAATCATCCAGTACCATACATTTAGACAACCATCTCAACAGAGGTCTGATTACACGGTTCTCGTGACTATAAAAACAAGGAGATCTGAACCAGGTTCATACTGAGTATTCACTTAGCACATTATACCCTTACCTCACAAGACCTGCAAAATCTCTGGTCGAATACAGTATTGACTAGGCAGGCTTAGACATACATCACTTGGCTTCTAGAAAGCAGACTTAAGAATCAAATCTGGCCAGAAATAGACCATGATCAAAGCTTGAGTGTACTTATTTTTAAAGGGCAAAAACGCCACCTTACCTTGTTGCAATTCTCTGCAGATTTCTCTCCGTTTCTTTGTCTTTGACAACATCTGGCTGGACTCTGCACATCATCTCCCACTCCCGCCTCCTATCAAGCTGTGTTACAAATATTGGCATGTGAAAGAATATTAGGCATTCCTTAAAATGCAGCATACTTTGATATGATACTCTGCGAAAGGACAAAGGTAATGAATCATTCGGGCTTAGCATGTCATACAGACTCTTTTTTAAAAACCCACCATTTTAGGGGCGCAGCTCGGGGAGCCTGTGGTTAGCACTCGGCGTGTCACCTGAGCGGCCCCAAGGGAGTTTCTCTCAGGACTGACAGCAGGGGTCTGGAGAGCTGCCAGGACATTCAGCAAGGCAGGACACAGCAGGGTGTGGGAGAGCTACACATCTGATTAGCCACCACCCGGTCACCACAGGTGAGACTCCAAACTGCCCTCTTTGGTAACCACCAGGTTAAACAGTTTCTCTTTATTTTCAGAAACTGACTTCTTTAACAGGCAGAATTTTAAGAATGCATATGCACTTTTAAAGGAATAGCATCATATCCCAAAAAAAAACAAATCCACTGCCGTCAAGTCAATTCTAAATCATAGTGATTCTACAGGACAGAGTAGAACTGTCCCATAGCGTTTCCAAGGAGCGGCTGGTGGACTTGAACCGCCGACCTTTTGGTTAGCAGTCGTAGCACTTAACCACTGCGCCACCAGGGTTTCCAGCATCATATCCAGGTAGATCCTATTTGCACAGTGACTACCTTTCTTTACAGTAAATCCTTGTAATCTGTTTCTCCTCTTGCAGCACATCTGACCCAATCCTTGCACATACCGCATATCAGTCACAAACTGTAGCAAATGGATTCTCGGCTATCACACAGAAGCAGAAGGGGAGCTGGGAAATAAGACAATCCCAAAGACAACGCAATCTAGTTCACAACTGTCTTCTAGTGGTACCCAGGTCCCAGGCATCTGATAGGATAAACTGCTTCTCCAAGCCCCCTTCTCAGGCCAACATTTCACCAAATACCGAATACACTGAATACGATGAACTAACCAACAAGAAGTTGGTTAAGTGCCTAAACCAGTAAGAAGGACTAATGAAAATAGGTCTCCTTTCATTTCTTTGTTTTCTCCACTCATGTATTTCTTACTTTGTATTAATGAAAATTTCTCATCACCAAATTCCTGCTCTCAATATAAACATTAGTCTGACTGCTTTCTAAAAGAACAGCTTCTTCCCCAAATTAGAGAATTCATTTTAACTGCCATAATAACTCAGATAATTCCAGAAAAAAAATCTTATTTCAAAATTTAAAACAGTGCATTTTAAATTATCTGTAGTACTCATGGGATAGTAGACATTATCCCCAAAACAATTTTTTTTTTTTTTTACCTTGAACGGTATTTTTATATGTATGATTAGACATAAGTAGCTGATATACTGGAAATTCCTAATATTTCATGTTAAGAAGTAATGAGAATTTATGTAGACACCACTTAGAAACACACACAAAGAGCACTTACATTTGCTCTGTTACGTTTCTGGTATAACGCACGTGCCTCCGTGCGTCGTGTGGACAGTATCATCTCCAGCATTCAAAGCTGCGGCCTAGAGCAGAGTTAGACTCCTTCCTGTTGGCTTCAGAATGCTGTCTACACAGGAACATTAGGACTAGAGGCAGTTAAGGATTCTCATTTTTTTTAAAGCCTCTTCTAGCTTTTGCCAGATAATAAAGATTCCATTTTCAGTCAAAAAGCTATCAGAGGTTTACCCACTGCTACTGAGTCGACTGCAACTCATGGCAATCCTATCGCACAGAAGAAACTGCGCCATACAGTTTCCAAGGCTGTAATCTTTACAGAAGCAGACTGCCACAGCTTTCTCCAGTGGAGTAGCTGATGGGGTCAAACCACCAACCTTTCGGTTCGCAGCCAACTGCTCAACCACTGTGCCATGAGGGCTCTTTCCAGTAAGACTTAGAGGCCAAATTTATCTTAAAGTACAATGAAAATACAGAATTAGTAACAGAGTACATTGTTTCCAAGAGCAGTGCTTCAAAAGTTCTACCTTTATATGGCCTTTCACAGAGAGCAATCAATATTAAGAACAAAGAAACATACATCTTTAAACAAGATTAGAGGACAGAGTTCAGCTGCTAACCAAAAGGTCGGCAGTTCAAATCCACCAGGCGCTCCTTGGAAATCCTATGGGGCAGTTCTACTCTGTTCTGTAGGGTTGCTATGAGTCAGAATCGACTTGATGGCAATGGATTTTTCATGCCAATTCAAATTTATTTTTCTTTTATTTTTACCTATAAAGTAAACAAACCAGTTGCCTTCGAGTCAGTCCCGACCATGGCAACCCATGTGTGTGAGAGCAGAGCTGTGCACCACAGGGTTTTCAGGGGCTGATTTTCCAGAAGTAGATTGCCAGGCCTTTCTTCCCAGGCACCTCTGGGTGGACTCGAACCTCCAGTCATTTGGTTAGCAGCCGAGTGCAATAACCATTTACATTACCCAGGGACTTTACCTATAAAGTCCCTCTTAGAAATTAGCATTTCTATATTGCCAGTATAATTGTAGAAAATTATTTTTCTTCCATTAGAATATGATACATACTTCAGTAACTGAACATTTTAGACACAGAGATACTTCATCAAGTATAAGGGATGTACTTATACCTTATCTTGGTTTCTTTATGCTTATAATACACAACAGCAAACTCATGTCTAACTTCTGAGCTTTAATTAACAGGTTACACTAGTCCCGCTTCTATCATCAGTGCTGTAATAAAATGCACAACGAATTCAACTTTATCTAGTGGGTAAATATCAGCTTACAGAACTGCAACCATCTCTGACCTGTGACATCATCACAGATTTCTATTATAAAATAGGTTTTCACCCCAACAGGAACAAACATGCTTCCTTATGGGACACATTCAGACCCAAAGATTAGTTCAGGACCTAATAAAATCAGTCTACGGACAACCAAACACAATAAAATGCTGAGACCCAGGAGTCACTGCCACACCTATAATTACTTAATTTGAAAAGAATAAATTTCCTTGGAGTTTACGTTTGTATGGCTTTGCTTAGATGATTAAAAGTAAACAGGCTCCATGGAGTAATTTAGACTAACATAACCTTGGTTATCTACCCTCACATAAAAAGCAGGTTTAAAACTGGAATGTTAACTGGACAAACACTGCAAAGAACAATGTGGCACCGAGGAGAACCAGACAAGACAAACAAGTCTAATCTAAAAGACAACGGGCGGGACACACCTGTTTTCTTTTCTCCAGTCTCTCTCGTTTCAACGTTTCTTTCTCCTTTTCCAGCTCTTTGTTTTTCATCAGAATGCCGGGTTTAGTTTTAGGAGTTTTTTTGTTCAGAATTTTCGCCATGGCATCTGCCCAGCCTGGATCTGTCCCAACACTAGATTCGGCTGCATTTTCATTGCCTCGGTCACAGGGTTCGACCTCCTCCTCATTGTCAGCGTCTACTGCTTCATTATCAGAAGAAAAGTCATCCTCTTCCAACCCACAGCTTCCTACAGAACCTAAGAGCAGAAACAAATTAAACTTTAATACCAAGCCCTGGTGAAGCAGTGGTTAAGAGCTCGGCTGCTAACCAAAGGTCAGCACTTGGCATCCACCAGCCGCTCCTTGGAAACCCTATGGGGCAGTTCTACTCTGTCCTACAGGGTTGCTATGAGTCGGAATTGAGTCAACAGCAAGGGGTATATAACAGGTGACACAACGGTTAAATGTTCAGCTGCTAATTAAAAGGTTGGCAGTTCGAACCCACCGAGGAGCTCTGTGGGAAAAAAACCTGGCAATCTGCTTCCGTAAAGATTACAGCCAAGAAAACCCTATGCGGCAGTTCTCCTCTGTCACATGGGGTGGCTATGAGTCGAAATCAACTCGATGGCACCTAACAACAACACGGTTAACTTTTACTATGCAGAACCACCAAAAAAGCATATACAGGTACCAGCAAACTAGTTCATAAAATGGCTGAGTTCAGAGAATTGGCAGAAACAACAGTCCAGTTAGTGGCCTTGCTTGAAAATCAACTTAAGAAACTCCTTCAACTTCTGAAGCTAAGTGTACTTTTCCAGAGCTCTCTGGAAAGCTCCTGTTTTGTTCTTCAGAAATCTATGGAACATATCAGGAAATAAATACTCCAAAAGACAAAATCATCCAGTAATTTAGCAACATGGAATGTTTTTTTAATAAGGAGAAGAGCGAAGAAAGAAGACTGAGAAGTTATCAAAGAAGAGGAAAATCGCACACCCACAGCCGCCACTTAACAGCTGTATCTGTGGGTAACAAACATGCTTTCCTCAGGCAACTCCAGAGCTACAATATTTGACTCTCGAAGTTTAATACAGAAAATGCCATTACCTGCAACTTTTCTATCAAAATATCTATATTAAGTAACAACATTAGAAATTCAAGTAAGCTATTAAATACCAGGAAGATGTTCACCTGTGTTTTATTGACTACGCAATGGCGTTTTAGACTGTGTGAATCATAACAAATTACGGGTAACACTGTGAACAACAGGAATTCCAGAACACTTGATTGTGCTCATGAGGAACCTGTACATAGACCAAGAGGCAGTCTTTCGAACAGAACAAGGGGATACAGCGTGGTTTAAAGTCAGGAAAGGTATGTTTCAGGGTTGTATCCTTTCACCATACTCATTCAATCTGTATGCTGAGCAAATAATCCAAGAAGCTGGACTATATGAAGAATATGGTATCAGGATTGGAGGAGGACTCATTAACAACTTGCAAAAGGCAGACAGCACAACCTTGCTTGCTAAAAGTGAAGAGGACTTGAAGCACTTACTGATGAAGATCAAAGACTACATACAACCTTCAGTATGGATTACACCTCAACATAAAGAAAATAAAAATGCTCACAACTAGACCAATAAGCAACATCATGACAAACAGAGACAAGACTGAAGTTGTCAAGAATTTCATTTGACTTGGATCCACAATCAACGCCCATGGAAGCAGCAGTCAAGAAATCAAACGATGCATTACATTGGGCAAATCTACTGCAAAAGACCTCTTTAAAGTGTTAAAAAAGTGAAGATGTCACCCTGAGGACTAAAGTGCACCTGACCCAAGCCATACTATTTTCAATCGCCTCATATGCATGTGAAAGCTGTACAATGAATAAGAAGACTGAAGAAGAACTGATGCCTTTGAATCACAGTGTTGATGAAGAATACTGAATATACTGTGGACGGCCAGAAGAACAAACAAATCTGTCTTGGAAGAAGTACAGCCAGAATGCTCCTCAGAAGCAAGGATGGCAAGAGTTTGTCTCATGTACTTTAGACATGTTATCAGGAGGGACCAGTCCCTGGAGAAGGACATCACGCTTGGTACAGTAGAAGGTCAGTGAAAGAGAAGAAGACCCTCAATGAGATGGACTGACACAGTGGCTGCAACAATGGGCTCAAACATAGCAATGATTATGAGGATGGTGCAGGACAGGGCAGTGTTTCATTCTGTTATGAGTCAGGACCAGCACAATGGCACCTAACAACAACAACATTAAATACTGACTTCATTGCATTAAGATAAAATACCATTTAAAGCAACACTAAAAGAAAAAACAAGGTCTAGACATAAACAGGTTTCCTGATGCTCCCTATTTAACTCAATTCTGATGTCCTCCCGTCCAAATCAGAACAATCCCTAGCCCCGAAGCACTGCATTTCAACAAGGCTGCTCTGTGTTCATTTAACCCTCTCTGCTAGGACTTTCTGCTTAATCTGTTGCTTCTTATTTCAAAAGTCTCGATTCTTAAACTCCAAGCCCCAGTTTCTTCTTTAAATAATTTCAACAAAATGTGCATATCCTTGTTATCCTTGTAGCCTTTCTATAGCAGCTTACTGCCATGTCCAAAGTAAAACCGAGAGAATATAGTCAGATACTAGTTTCTTATCTCTTGACTTTAAGCCATGAGTCAAGACAGAATTGCTGGGAAGATCTGACTTTCAGGTACTGAGTTTAAAACTTGTAATTTTTACTTAAAACCCTTACTTTTGAAGTGTTGAGAATCATGAAGTGAAATGAATATGGAATTAAATATTTAATACTACATTTCAAATAAAAGATCTGTAACATATTAGAAAACAGCAAATAACATACTTATCCAAAAATGAACCCCAAACATATGAATACAAATTAAGTATTTTCAAAAAATTAAACATTATGGAAAATTAGAAATAAACAGAAAACAAAACAATGTTTTACACTTTTAAAAGCAAGATCTTAAAATATAAAGTGTGTCCATGGTATCAAAAAATATTATAGGAAATGTTAAAATCAAGAAATAACTAATAATCCTACTGCCCAAATGGAGCTTCACATTTTAGTAAAGAGAAAGATCTTTTTAAATAGAAACTCATTTCCTACATATTTAATTTGAAGCTTTTTGCATATCCTGATGCTGAAAATTTAAGAAACCTGAAGGCATGTAAAGCTCTAGGCTTTGATGTGCAGATAGAAACGATCTGAGATCTACATGACTGTCCACAATATTTTTAAAGTGGTATCTGAATTTTGCTAAACAAAAGTCGACAGTGTTATCATTCAGTTCAACACACATTTGAGTGTCTACCAGTATACACCAGATTCCAGGGCCATACAATTTCTTCCCCAGGAAGCATCCTGTAGGACCAGGTCTCCTGGAAAGTACGGTGAAAAACAAAAGTTTGGAGGATGCAGTCAGCTGAAAACCAAACATACAAATATCATATATGTTTTATTCCCCAGGGTCAGTAGCACTACACAGATGCTAGTAATAAAATAAGCCATTCTTTGAAAAGTGTTTCTTCGAGTAAGCATTTTCTAAATGTGAAAAGCCAGGAGGGCTTCAAAGTTTGTGTCACTAACAATATTGGGGTAATTAAAAGCAGGAAAGTCTTGAAACAGCTTCTGGTACAATGTCAGAACTACAACACTGACATCTAGTGTTTTGTGCTGATCAATTCATGCAGACTGCAGCAAATCCCGAGGTTTTCAGCCGCACCGTAAAGGCAGACAGAAGGCTTTAGGACTGTATGTGGTTGTGTGCCACTGATTCCGACTTACAGCAACCCTATGGGACGGTGTAAAGCTGCCCTATATGGTTTCCAAGGCTGTAATCCTTAAGGGAGCAGACTGCCACATCTGTCTTTGCCCTTCTTACAGCTGCAGAAACCACTCTGATTCTCCACTTCAAAACCTTAGCAATTTTGCTTCAGTATGATTCTTACCCAGCTGACTACCACAACGTGAGTATATTACATACACACAGAAATCCACGGGAGTTTTACAACATCATTTTATACAACCTGCACTCACCCCACCAATAAAGAAATTCCAGGAGAATCCGCTATTTTATTATGTTTTAAAAGACGTTCTAGCTCAGGAGTTTCCGGTCAAGCATTTGCTGCCAATGGAAACAGGGATGTCTTACACAAATAAATTTAGAATGCCAATGTAATGAGATTTCCCAGCACACTGAAAAACAGGATTTACTTCTACAATACTGAGGATTATCATTATGCAAATCAGAAGTAGAACTGGCTCTTAAATTTTTACTGAATTCTACCAAGATGACATTTTTCAAATTTTCCAATAACAGATCTTTACTAGCAGAAGTTAAGTGGATAAACCCAGGAGTCGACTGGCATAGACAGAAGCCACCACATGAATGAAAAATTCCTTTGCAGTTGTGTCTGAAACATTAATTCTAATTTTGCATTCTGCTTTATAACAGTCATGTTTGATTTCCATTACTTAGCTGAACTGACTCTCCTGAAAGGTATATGAGGCTAGATTCTGAAATCCTGAAGTATTTAAAGACAAAAGATACAAAACAAAAATCTGCAAATTAAGGAAGGTGTTAGGGATTGAACTGTGTGTCCTCCCAAAATATGTGCTGTAAATCTAACTTCTATGCCTACAGAGTCGCTGTGAGCTGGAATCAACTCGACGGCAACAGGATTTTTGGTTATGCTAGTGGTTATAATCCCATTTGGGAATGGACTGTCTTTGGTACATCAGTGAGGCAGTATCAGTGTAGGGACTGTTTTGAGTCAATGTCTTACAAAGAAAAAAGAGCAGATGAAGCAGCCAGAGATGGGGGAAGATTGATGGCAAGACACATGGAGATCTCCAAGGAACCAGGAAACAGATGCTGAAGACATAAGGACCTTCTCCCAGAGCTGACAAAGAGAGAAAGCCTTCCCCTAGAGCCGGCACCCTGAATTCAGACTTCTAGCCTCCTTAACTGTGAAGAAATAAATTTGTTTGTTAAAGCCATCCACTTGTGGTATTTCTGTCATAGCAGCACTAGATAACGAAGACAAAAGGGCTACAAATGATGCTCATTGGAATAATGACTAAAAGTTCCAACAGAGCTTTCTGTGACAATGGAAATGTTTCATATCAGAGCTGTCCACTAGCCACCAGCCACAACAGCCTAGGGAACGTTTCACAGTGGCTAGTATGACTGAGGACCTGGACTTCTAACTCTATTGACTTTT